ATTATATAAAAGCTTAAAATTATTTATTTAAAAAAATTTAATATGTTAAAGAAATAAATACAACACTGTAATCATAAAAATCATAGATATATGATATTTAATATTACAAAATTCATAAATATAGAAAAATAACTTGTAAACTTAATAAAAATCAATAAATGTTGGTAAATTAAAATTTTAGCTCACCTTAATTTTATAAAAAATTTTACTTTTTAAAATATAATTTTTAATTAATTTTAAATAAAATAATTTAATAAAAATAATAAATAAACACATTTATCTTTTACTAAAAATATAATATAATATTTATTAATTACTCTTTAAAAAAGTTAAACTAACTCACTGTTAACCCTAACTTATATTTTTACTTCAGGCCAAAATAAGCCCATTACACATAGGATTAAAAAAAATCATCGTTGTGGAATGGGTTGTGAGCTTGGGACTATATTGCCAGCTCTAGTAAGGGTACTATGTTGGTTAAAACTTAGCACATTTGTATGCCAACGAGCGGTGATGAAGGTTTCTAGTCATAAATTACTTTGCTTTGATATCTGCTACTTCCTCTCGTGTGGAGGATTTGTGGGGTGGTATGAGTTAAGTTTAATAAAAATTACGATAACTTTCATTTAGATATTTTTTACACTATTTGGACATGATAATATAATCCATCTAATAAATTATTCGGTGGGCAGAAGTAAATCAAAATTTGACCAAGTAATAAAGTGAGCCAATTTTGGTAAGTTCCCTTTAGTGACAAATTTTCTGTGAGTTTACTAAACTCGCTTTGACAACTTATGTAAAATTAATAATTGTGAACGATTTCATTCTTTATACACTTATGTGAAATTAATTACGGGATATTATACACTTATAAACTCACTTTGACAACTTATAAATTCATTTTAAGAAAGGAAAATTGATGTTTTGGATAATTGAGAAATAGACACCATATTAAATTAGTAATAATGAACATATTTTAATTTTACAAAAGAATCATTTGCATAATGAATAAACAATTATTTTAATTCTTGAGATTTTAAGTTTTATTAACTAAAATAAAGTTTTTTTTATAACATTTGATAAAATTAAATGTTACAATATTAAGAACTAAAACGAATAAGATTTACAATAATTACTAAAGTAGTAATTTACTTTTTGTCTATAATACCCACACAAAAAGTGTAACTATGGTCTCCAGCTAATTGACGTTGACCCATTGGATGGGGACTAAGTCAAAATAGTCATGGGCTCGAAGCTGTTAAGAAGTCCCATATCTCCACCGTCAAATGGTGGCCCATATGAGCTGGATTTGATCTGGGTGCCTTTAGACATATGCCCCCAATAGAGAGAAATGGTACAAGTAATAGAAATTTCCAATTATTATGCCCTCCTTTGGGAAAGTTCCACAAGGACAGGTTTGATGTTAACCACTCCCTTAAGATATTAGATTTGTTTGCACTGCCCTCTACCCATAAACAATGAGGATCCTAGGGAAAACTGCACATGGCTTTTTAAAGTCTTATCCCTCTCCTTTGTTAACATTCTTTCTCCTTAAGTGAACACTCTAAGCACCTGGCCATGCACGTACTCATTTACACTATTGAAACTTGGCTGCTCCGTAATCCACTCTACATCTTCCTCAAATAAAAATAGACCTATCAACAACCGGAAGCTTCTTTAATTCACACTTTTTTTTTTCATTTATAAAGTAAAAACATTTTAAAGTGTGATTGATCAATTAATGTTATTAACCAAACTTTGACCATTTGCGTCTCTGCATTGTTTTAATAATGATGATTGGTGGCTGGACCATATGACTGGTAAGGAGGTTCGATCTATAATTGGTTGATCTCTAAACATGTTAAGTAATAAATCAAATTTTTTGAAAACTCTGCATATGATTATCTGATGGAGCTGTATAGCACTTTCAAGATGAAGCTTTATCTGAGTGTAGTACTTGATCTTACCTTCATTCACTCAAAGATGAAGCTTGCTAAAGAGGTTATATATATGAGTTATGGCTACTAAAGTAAGTATCATCTTTAATTTTCCTATAATCTATTTGTTGTCTTGGATCTTACATATGCACAACGTTTATAAATAATATAGAGCTACCTGGTGTACAATGTAAAAATAATTACGGAGCTATGTAAACTTCGCTCAAGTATCTGGACAAGTGCAAAATTGAATGAGAATTTTTGCATTTATATGCCAACGGCACGACATTCTGACGTTGAATTAAAAATTTATATTTTTTAAGAAAAATAATATAATTTTTTACCATGCATAATTTTTTACAAAATTATAAGAAATTGATTATAGTCCAATTTAAGTGAGTTTTTATAAATTATTTGTAAAAAGAGGCAGAATAAATAATTCTTTATAAATTAAAATTAACTTATATTATTTTACTTTTTTTAAGTTTTAATTAATTTTTTTAAAATATAATATGTATAAATTAATTTTAATCTATAATTTTTTTTCTTGTTAGTGTTTATAGAAAAATTTCATCGAAACTGAATCTATATAAAAATCAATAACAAAATAACACATTTCCTTTTTATTCTCTTAAAATCTATATCTATATATAATCACCTATTTTATTTTTTTAATTTATGAAAAAATATTTATTATACTAATATTATTTCTTAATTTGTATCTATTTACCATACTTTGTGAATGAGACAAGTAGACTCCTGTCTTTTCCCTCCTCCTCTCGTCTTTTTTTTCCCCAAATGTTTAAAAAGTGCTTTGACCATCTACACGTGCACAACACCTTTTAAGATAAGAATCATCGCTCATATTGCATCAAAATCATATTCACGGGATATTCCTTTATTGCCAAGTCAGTTCTCAAAAATTATTTTGAAGCAAAAATCATAACTTTTGTTTAAAAATAATCAAACTATTTAATAAGTTTTGATATGTCTTAAACGATAAAATAACTTTCCTAGTTTCATTACTGTTCAAGTGAATTTTAAGGTACATCGCATTCGTTTGTGAAAAGATACAAATTTGATACAAGAGCAGTTTAAATTATTAAATATATTACTTCTAAAATATGTAAAAAATCTATAACACACATCGAACGAGTTCTTCGTCATTTAAAATATAAAGAAAAAAAATTAAACTAAATAAATTTTATGAAGTTAGTTGAATTAAATAATCAAATTTATTTTTAGGTACCCGTAAATTTGATAAGGTATTTTATACTCTTTTTATATTAACAGCATGTAATTTTTCTAATATTAGATGAAAAAGTATTAATACTTTTTTTTAAATAAACTATTAATTTTATTATTTGTTAATGTAAAATTAACAATTAAGATTATTTTACGTAAGAGAATGTATCAAACTTTCTTAATTAATTAACAAGATGTCCTATGTTTTACCTTATTTTTATTTAATTTAAGTCAACTCAATTTTAATAAATTCGTTTGTATAATGTTGAATTTTAATCTGATTAAACTTGAACGAATCCAATCACCATAAATACTTATTCTATTAAAATAAAAAAGTTGAAAAGATATCGTATCAAAATAATTTGTTTAAACAGATTACACATATCATCCTAATTATATAACCCAAAATGTTCCTTTGGTGATGAGGTTAAGTTAGTTAAAGTTCGTAAAATAAAAATATATTTTCTCAACTCAAATAAATTTAATCAGTTTTATTTTTATTATTAAAAAACCGGCCTGACTTGAACCGTAATGACTGTATAGTTTGCTGTTAAAAGAATTTTGCAAACAACAATTTAAAATTCAACTTTTATAGAAGAGGGATTTGGATAAAAGTGCGTGTGCACGTGCAGACATGTGTTTGAATATGTGGAAGCCCGCATATGAATATTATGCACACGTGCCCACATGCTTCTGTGAATCCTAGTAGAGTAAATTCTTGAAAAGGAGAGAAGGATTGTGAATGTGATTGCATGTGGATTCATAAAATCCCAGTCAACTGCACCGTGTCCCAAAAAATTTTTACACTCTCTATTGTCGTAGTTCTGCCAAAGCCATTTTTATTTTTATTTTTTCCCCTCTATGCATGCTTAGTAATAGAATCTCTTTACTGTTTTTCTCTGTCACATACACACGCAGAGAAAAAAAAAAAAGAGGGGGTGGTGGTGGTGGTAATGTTTTTATTCGGAGGATGAGACTGACATGAAAAAACAAGCGGCACATTTTGCTCTGCAGTATAGATAAATGGCAGTACAAACTATAAAAGAGAGTTATGTTTCCGTTGTGTGATTCTTTAATCGTGACACATGATGGGCACAAAAAAGGTAAAAGGGGCACAAGGATACTGAATAATGTGTGCTGTTTATGTCCGGAACAGCATATTTCCTTTCCACATTTGCACACTAAATCAGATTTTTAGATACTAAATAAAACCCATTTTTAAGGACCACTTCTGCTCCAACTAATATTGTTCTTAGCTACAAACAACACCCTTTACTAATCATATCTTAGTAATACTTATCCTACATTACATTGGGACTTAGAAGAGAGAGAGAGAGAGAGGAGGCATTACTGCTGAAGGGATAGGTGTCCATACACTGTGGAAGGGGAAATGGACGTGTACCCGGTTTTGTTAAGAGGGTACACAGTGCATCGCTGTCTAGCATGTGAAGGGGTTGTGGTTTTCTCTCTTTCTCTCTCTTACATGCACCCCTCTATAACCCACCCATCTGGCAGTTTGCACATACGGGAGGAGAATCAGGACAAAACTAGTCTAGGATTTGAGTCTGATTCTCTTGGTTTTCTCCAACACTTTATCCAACTTGGTCATCACCCCAAACCAAAACTAGACAAATTGCCACGCAGTTAATAATAGGGTCGAGTATGTGAGTGTTTGATCAAACCTTTTACTCTTTACTTTTATCCTTTTTACCAATGCTCTTTCATCATAAATTGGAGACCCCTACATAGTAGAAAACAAGAATAACCAACCAACCCATTTTAGATTCCAATTCCATTCATTTCTTTCAGCCAAGGAAGATGAACGCGTTGGCTTCAGAATGCAGTAGTGGGTGCGAGTCTGGTTGGACTCTTTACCTGGAGCACTCTTTCCACCTCAACCACAATGCTTCTTCACATAGACCTTCGCAGTTTATTGAAGATGACGGCTTTTATGACCAAGAAAAAGACAAGAAAGCTAAAAACGAGGACGCTGAGGAAGAGGACTTGTCCATGGTTTCTGATGCTTCTTCTGGGCCTCCACATTTTCCAGATGCACAAGATAATGCCCACTTTCATTCTTCATCTAAGGCAGCAAAACTGGCCAAGAGAAGTAAAAAGAAGCAGAAAGTTAGAGAAAACCAACACCTTCCTTCTTTTCTTGATGACACTGCTAGCTCTCCTCTCTTTGACTTCTCCATGGTGAGTTTCAGCTTGCTTGCATTGCCCTATATACCTCATTTCCTCGTACTAAAAAAATCATGGGTTGTACTTGTATTGTATATGATATATACTCACATGACTCTAGACAATTTTTCAGAACAATGCTACTGTGACCAACCAACAAACTTCTACAGAGAGTATGCTAGATTACTCACAAGGTTTCTCTGCTACTTATTTCGAGGTGCTTAATTACTTGGCTTGATTCTTTCTTTGTTTTTCTTTGAAGGTTAAATTTTGTTTGAAGTCATATCTGAAATCATTTGTGTTCTTGCAGGAGAGATCCTCGTTGCAAGACCATTTTGGTTTCTTCCAAGTCCAACCATCTCTATCAGAAAATGAAGTTCATAACAACAAGTAAGCACGTGCTTCTTCTGCACACTGGACAAGTCATGATAGCCCCATGACCTGTATCCATCCCAGCAGTATTTTCATTTATCATGCGTGACCATTCAATTGCATTCTGTGTTTAGCAGATGGTACGGAGGGAAAGAGATGGGAATGATCTAAAGATCACTTCTACTTGTGGCTATCTCAGTTATTGAACTTGTTACACTGGAAGTTACTGAAGATGGATGGAGGACAGAGAATCATTGATGGTGTAGAAGGAATTTCATCTCAGAAGGGATTCTGTTCCTTTGTTTTCTTTTATCTTCTCTTTTAGCTGTCAATGCAGTGCCAGACAACTTGAAAGGAAAATTTAGAAATAAACTTTTTTTTTCTTTCTCTTTCATAATTTAGTTTTCTTGTCAATGAATAGAGCACACAAGATAGGTAAGTTAGGCAGGTTCTGTATAAGCATGCACAATCCTTGTTTTTGATGATGCCCCATGCTCAATTTATATCAGCAAAGCAGCACTAGCAACTTTTGCCAAACAAACAAATAAAACAAATACTCTATTTAATTCTTCAATCTCATTCTCCAATAATAAAATGACCAAACCTTTGTTTTCTCTTCCGGGTATTAAAAACTAACGCTCTGATGAAATGCGAACAACTTTAACTCTTCAGGAGCTATAGTTGCAAATGCCAGGTTAGGTTTAAGTAGAGTAGATCTTGTGTCCATATTCAAAACACATGAGGGCAGGGGTACCTGCTTTCAGTGCTTTGGAAATGCAAAAGTTTCTTTAACAGATAAATGCTATCTCGGGGTTTACATGTTCTTCAGTTCTGCATAGTTTTTTAGATCTAAGCTACGCACAGAATAATCACCTTAAATGTGTTCTAAGTAATAGTGTGCCAGATGGCAGTGATCTGCTCCAATCTCAGAAAATTTGGAATTAAAACTTATACCTGCCCATCTCAAAATGCCAAAGGAGCTCAAAAATTGAACAAATTAATTAATACCAAAAAAGTATGTAACTATTAGAGGAAGATGTCGTCTATCATGAATAAAATTATGAATTTAGCAATCAAATTATAGGGCTTTTCCTCTCTTTTCTAAATCATAAATCCATTGTTTTTATTAGTGAGGCGAGACAAAATTTAGTACTGCCCGCTGCACCTCATGACACAAAATTCAGATGAAGGCCATGTCATCCTAGTTGATTAGGTAGGATTTGTTTACATCTAGATTTGGATCTTTATTACTAAGCTGTGAATAAATTAGGAGAAAACGAGTTTAGTGTGTTTTGGATTTAGAGTTGAGTATAATTAATTTTGAGCTATTAAATGTAATTGAGAAGTGTCTAAATTAATTTGAACTACGTATTTTTTTTATTGAAATGTGGATTTTTTTTATTGGAAAGTATAAAAATTGATTCTGTTACTTTTGGAACAAATGGGGCCTTGATCATTAATAGGGACAAGGCCTTCATGCACGTTTGGAAGAGTCCAGACAATGCTCCATTTATTCTGAAAGTTCTAGTGTTTTCCTATAGGTGAAAATTAAGGGCTAAGGCTTAATCAGCTTCTAAGAGGATAAAAGATGATAAAGCGGGTTATGAGATATGGGCAATCAGGACAGTGTACAAAGATGAGGAAGAAATGCTAATCTTTATGTTGGAATATTTCATATGCATCTCTTTAAATCTTTTCTAAGCTTAGGAGATCCTGCCTGAGATCTTCCTGACCCAGAGGAACATGCCCCATTTTGTTTAGTATGTCAACTTTATCTCGTTTGGAAGGATCCCATTTTAAAATATCATATATGATGTTTTTTTATGTCTTCGAGTCTGTCTGCCTGGAAGCTGTCATAGGACTAGATGTCATGCACAATTATGTGTCTCTTTGAATTTTTTTTATTCCTTTGCTTATTCCCAGTCAGTTCCTGCTCAGATTAAAAAATCTAATGCGAGTCCAGAAAGGTTGAAAAAGCTAAGAGAAGAGGGCCATTGGGAATTTAGGATGTCAATAAAATCTCTGCCCACATGTTGTTTTCTCATATATATAATTGAAGTTTGGCAATGAGAGTCTTGGATAAAAAAAATAAGGCTAAAAATAATAGAGGAAGCTAGGCTAAGGACAAATCAAACTCATAAACTTCTAGATAAAGAAATTAATTTAAACGTGAAGATAGTCATTGCCTGGCTGCATTCCATCAAATTGGATAAGAATCCAAAAAGGTATGGGAAAACAGTTTTGGCCCTTCCAACCACCGCCAAACCAAACCCCTCTACCACTGTTTACACAGAGGAGATAGGAAGGGGTTTTATAACTTCCAAACACGTGTTTCATGTTTTGATCTTCTGTTTCTGTGACCAGTGCCAATTTAGTTTTGGATGTTTCTATTTCTTAGGACAACACCCTGCATCTCAGAGACTACAAAACGATCACTAGCAGTGACTCATATGGTAATAACTAAAACTACAAAATTACTCTATCTTAAACTGTGGCTTTCTTCAGTGTTTTATTTCTCATCAATACACTACAATTAACCAAACTAATCAAAGTCCTTAAGGCATAACCAAAATATAAACTCATGGCCCACAGAAAAGAAGCAACACTTCAAGGTGTACTAGCCTTTCAGGTAGTACACCAGTATAGAATTAGTGACGGAATGAGAAAAGAAAGCAGGTAGGAAGGAAGAGAGGCGGGCAGATACATGTTAAAATATGGATCATTCTCCTGAGATTAAATCCTCCGTGTAGAATTCTATACAAAAAGACACACTTGAAGTCAAATGAATTTGAGTTCCTTGCCCATGATTTGAAATCTCATAACAAACTTTTACTGTTCATTGTTCAATATTGGACTTCACATGAAGATGCAGCACTATTCCCCTTTGATGTTCCATTTGTGGACTAAATAAAATAAAAATTCCAATACTACAGTTTCTGCCACTGCCATCGGGGATGTAATAATAATAAATATAGGCAGATACAAGAAGTTACGTGAACAATGTCCATGTGGACCCTGGATAAGGGAAATTCAACTCTTAAAACAAAGTTCCTCCCTCAAGTTATGTTCATCAGTGATCACCTTAACACGAGGGACTCTGGTAAATTGGTCCAATGTCATGGTCAGATTATGCAAACCAAAAGTGACATTATGGAAGATCTGGTTCAGATGTAACTCACATAATGCCAATAACAACAGTGCCACAAAAATCTGAGTACAGAGTAGTTCCCAAAGACTAAACTTGGGTTTTGTTCTATATATATATATATATGTATGTTTTAGGTGTTGATTTTCAATGAAAAACACAACAGGTGTAATGATTATTGCACGTGTTATATTTTCATTAAGGAACAATTGTACTTATTTAGTTTTCATAGGAAAATAATGCGGAACGTACCAAAGGACAATACTTAAAGTCTTGTTCCTGAAACCACAATTTTCATGCATGTGAATAATAATAATAATAAACAAAACCATTTGACTTTAGATACCCACACATGAGCTAAGAATGCACGTGTTGAACCTAAAAGTAGTGTTTGGCTGCACTACCAAATAATTCATTAGTTCAGTCACATAGATCCTTGATGCTGTTGAGGAGTGACTTTCGGGCCTCAATCAACCAAAACATTTCTTGCTCCTTGAACAAGTCATTTCAATCCAATGAAATTGGTTTATCTCAGTAGCGACCCATCTTGCACGAAAGAACTACCTTGATATCGTGTAATCGTGATATCCCAAGAGAAAAATAAGAAAGTGAAAGAAAGAAGAAATCCCAACCCAAGGATGGAATTGTTGGATGGAGCCAATGAAGTATTTAAGGTATGATTCACTATTGAAGAATGGATGCCAATCTGTGTCAATTCCAAGTCAACTACTTGAAACGGTTGCACTTGTAACATACAATTCAGAAGTTGCGGCAACAAAAATAAATTCAATGTCACCAAAGTACCAGGTGGCAATCAGATGACTGGAAATTAACAATTTTATTTTACAGCAGCGCTATTTAGTTCGAAAATATTTAGATGAAAATATAAAAAGTGGGATTAGACTTATATATTATTGCAGATCATGAATGGTGGGTGAAAACCGAATATTTGTTTTTGCTAAAATTTTGACATATCAGTTGGCGCAATTTTCGTAAAGCATAGCTTTTATCTTTTTTCTATATTTATTCTTTTATCTCTCGTTTGTAATAAAGTATACAAAATATTCTATAAAAAAAAGGTATACAAAATACTTTTAGAAAAAAAAAAGTGTATCAAATCTTTGAAAATTAAATGAAAGTAAGGACATTAAAAAATAATAATTAATATTTTCCTTTTTTTAAATAGATAAATATAAACATAATTTCTATAAAAATAGATAAATAGAAAAGAAACATTGGAAATTGTGCTTTTCCATGCCTTCTATGACCTGCCAGCACATTGGATTAGTCGTTTACTGCTGTAATTCATAATAGTATAGTGCAATCCTTTGACACCACTAAAAATAGAGAAACATAGGAAATAAGAAGAAATAAAATAATAAATGTAACGTCTGATGTAATAAAAAAAAATTGTGAAAGTTAAGGGTGTAAAAAAATTAAGATTGATCAATAATATGCCTTGCTCAATCGACCTTGTCAGATGATTAAATTAGTTTCTACTCTCACTTCTTTTACTACAAACACCAGTTCTCCAACATGAATAATGGAGATGAGGCTGCACATTTGGTCAATCTGTGCAAGGACAAAGTTATCTAAAGAAAGGAAAAGAAACCCATTTTCCCCTAAAATATTCCCATTTTATTATTGAGCTAATTTAAAGCCAATGAGTAGACCGAATTTCCTTGTTTATAATGGGAACCAGAAAGACACGAGACATCAATTCAAAAGAAGGATAATGTAATTATTACCAATAATCATACGTAAAAAGAAAGAAAGAAAAACTAGTTGTTATACTTTGGCCCTCACAAATCCCTGTCAAACTATGAGATGCCCTGAGAGACGACGGTCACATGCATGAAAGTTAGTCAGGCATTTGTATGTGCAAGAATTAAGTATCATTTTTTCCTATCAATTATATCTTCAAAAACTCTTCTGTCTGTCCTTCAGAGGCTCAATGTCACTGCCAAGGCTTTCAACTCGGTCAAGGATGCTCTTATTCCCATGGGCATAGAACCATAAACGAAAAACATTTTCAGGCTCCCACTTTTTATTAACCAGGATAGCATTATAAAAAAACTGCTGGCTTGCAGAACATAAAGGTTTGTGACTCCCAAGTGTTATTGAATGAGAAACGTTATTTTCACAGAAAGAAGCAGACTTCCCAAAAAACAAGAGAGCAATTAAAACTGGAAGAAAACAAAATATAAATAAACGTGATGAAAAATTTGTGAATTCTAGAGGGAAATCTTTGTGGAAATAACATAAGTGTTATTGGAAGGTAGCATGTGCGCATAAAATCGATGTTTCTGTCCACGGATGAACAAAGTATACAAGAACAGGAAGCAAGCGGACACTATAACGGTCCGGAATAAAAAATTATAGCACAAGAGAAAAAGGTAATTTTCAAATTATATTATTACATTTCTTTATGGAGCACAATTGGGTGCCCGGTTACTCCAGTAAGCGTTTGTGCTTACACCAGGCAATGGCAACCACATACAAGAATATGGTCCCCGCAGTACTGCCACCAACAGTCCAGAGGAATTCTCTCATCCCAGATATTTCAGTATCAAATAGTTCAATATGAATATTCATGCCAAAAACACCAGCCACAACAACAAAGGCACTCACAACCAGGGTTGCTGTGGTCAACATAACTCCCATTTGGAGGAGATGGTTCTGTTTGTCATCCAGCATGATGTTGATGTAATCCTCTGTGTCATCAACGTACTCCCTCAGCTTCAAAGGGGCAACCCAAAAAGCATAAGAAAGTGATAACAGAGGTCATTTTCATTTCATCCTTAAGATAACTGGTAAATTATATCATGTCATATTATTATAGAAGAAGAAATGCTAGGAACATACACTTTAACACACTTTCAGTTATTGACTAAAATTTATTAAATACTACAAAAGTATAAAAAAAAATCATTAAATTAAGAGTGAGAAATAGTGACCTACATGATTTTTGTGATTTTCAATAAATTTTAACAAATAATTAAGAGAATGTTTGATTTCATTTTTTAAAAACAGTTTTTAGTTTTTAAAAATAAAATGTAGTATAAAAAGTAAATCAAACATGCTCTAAGAGTATATTGCTAGCATTTCTCTTATAAAAGATAACCAACCATATTGGATCAGAACTGTTCAAAGATCACAACCTAAAGCTACCAAACCCCTAGACTTGCCCAGCTCCCTTAAATATAATTCATCCTTCAGATAACTGATAAATTATATCATGTCAAATTAATAGAAGAAAGAAATGCTAAGAACATACACTTTAACACACTCTTTTGACACACTTTTAATTATTGACAAAAAATTATTGAAAACTACAAAAGTATGAGAACAATAATTAAATTAAGAGTAAGAAATCGTGAGAACCACATGATTTTTATAGTTTTCAATAAATTTTAACAAATAATTAAGAATATATTGGATAAAAAAAGTTCAAAGATCACAACCTAAAGCTACCAAAGCCCCAGACTTGCCCAACTCCCTTAAATATAATCCATCCATCTTACTAGCCACATTACCCAACTCATCCAACATTAGCAAAGAACAGGAGATTGTTCGAAAGATTTGAAATTAAAGGTACCTTCCCACATGAGCGAAACATCAGTTTGGTTCAGTTTGGTTCTTGAAAGATTCTTGGCCAGTCAAGTTTGTCCCTAAAAGATGAAAATTGTCAACTCCATCCTTGAAAGACTAGCCTTTAGGTCAAATTAGTCCCCATGTTTACTCCCATAAGCATTTATGAATAATGTGACATGGAACGTTAAATGTCACAGTAGAGGTCCAATAGGCATGAAAACTCACTCCTCTCCACACATCCAAAATCGTCATCATTTTGGTTCTCTTAGGACTAATTTTCCCTTTCCCTCTCCATCATGTTCCAAAGCTTTTATTGTCAAATTTGAAGCAATAGTGAAGCTTGATTTTGGGTGATGAGGTTTAACATGGTTACTCGCACAATGATGTGAATTTTGAGTCTAGTAGGTTTGGAGTTTGAACATTTATTAAGAAGGCCACCGGAGGAATCGGTGAAAAAGGTTGACTGTATGATTTTTAATCCTATAAAAGAGTAGATGAAGACAAAAAAATCCTTGATCAAATCATCAAAAAGAATTTCATGATATTATTATTGAAAATTTAATTTTTGACCAAGCTTAATGTGTATTTGTTTACCATTTAAAATCAATCTTACACAATGTGGCACACATTCCAATGTAGAATATGAGGTTAGGACTTATGATTAATTTGGAAACATTTCCAATAATATTCAATGGTTCAAAATCAATTTTACCAAACTTCAAAAACAAATGGGCATGGAGTTGCTCCTAGAAGGCACAGAGGTAGAGAGATGATAACCAACAAACAATCTCATCTCCTTCACTACTGAAACCAAGCTCTAGTCAACTAAATCTTATCTCTCAGACGCTGTGTTTTCCTTTGGGATTAAGCCATCATTTTATTCCCTGATTTCTTTCAGGGACTAGGTTGACATGTAGAAGAAATGGTAATCCATAAGATTCTACATGGCAATTAATGGGCCACACGAGCATTTCTATAAAAATTTAACATTAACTCATGCTTCTTAATGTAGGGACCAATTTGATGGATGGACAACCTTTCAAGTTTGTTTTTAACAATTTTCATCTTTCATGAACTAACTTGACCAGTTCTTATCTTTCAGACTAAAATGAAAATTTACTCCCAATACACTTGTTTCTTACGCTAGAAATCTTAGGTGTATTCCTGCCAATCCAAATTCTCAGATGCAAACCAGAAAGTGCCCTCATTTACTATTGGAAATGGAACTAATGACTCATTTTATGGATTCTCCAATATTATATGTAACAACTGTTCTAGCATCCTTCGGATAAGTTTCCCCAGACTACTTGATCAGAAAGCATAAAGTGTTTTATTTTTTATTTTGAAACCGCAACTACTGCATTTGTGGTGAAACTAGTTGGACTATCTAGCTACTCAAAGGGGAAAAACCTGATAAAAACGGGGTCATAAAATAACAAAAAGGGATAAAATGAAGTTGCAGAGCATACCGTAGATAGCTTGTTCAATGTGCCATCGATCTGCACAAAGTAAGCTTCCAGGAGCATCTCAAGCTCCTCTACATCAAGTTGCTTAGTTACAGCACTGTAGGTAGCGCTACCACGGCCATGGCTGTCCCTGGCAAGTAGATGAGAGGCGACAAACATATGGTCGGCAGAGTTGTGAGCATTTTGATGGTCGTCATAACTTGCAGTGGCTCCAGCAGTTTCCAATGAAATTTCAGGAGCCGTCCTGTCATCCATATCGGGTTGAACAAGATTCTGGGTATCGTCCTCGTCTTGTTCGTTGAGGGACGAGGCAGAAGAGCTTTCCACCTGCTGTTCAGCTAACTTGTCGGTGAGATACATCTCAGCCATATCTTCATCATCATCCAGCAAGTGTTCCAATTCATCCCTTACCTAGTGGACATTCATGCATGAATCAAAACGGCTGATGTGAACGAGGCACCAATATTGAATTATAATAATCAAAGAAAAGAAGAGGAACCTTCTGAACACGACCAGTGATGGCGACTAAACGACTCTTAATTTGACGGACGCGTTCCAAATTGAGAGTACTAATCTTCGAGGTGAGCTTATCCAAGGCGGGATGAGCCTCCTGCTCCAGCGTTTTAGCCTGCAAATAGGGAGGGCGGGAGGGAGAGAGAGAGAGAGATTAGGGTCTGAATTGAAATGAGAAAGAGAGAAAAGAAAGCAAGGTGGGGTGGAGAGACCTCGTTTTCTAAGACGCTACAAGCAGCCTCGAGGCAGGCCTCAAGGGCTACGAACTCGAAGGGGAGAATCTTGGTGCCATCGGGATTCTGGAGATCTTGGTTGGGCTGGGCCTGAATGGGAGGGTCTTCGAGAGAGAAGAGTTTGGGGTTAGAAGAAGAGGCCTGGTGGTGACGTAGGATGCGGGCTTGAAGCTCGTGAACGAAAGGGGTGACGGAGGGGTCGCGGGAATTGAGGAGAAGCACTTCTTGCGCTGTTATGATGGCTTTGATGTGTTCCAAGTTGATGACGATGGCTCTCTCTCGCCCCAGAAGGGTTGAAGGGTAGGAGAGGAGAGGGTCCAATATCCTCAGGTCACGCGCCGGCAGACCCGTCCTCCTCATGATCGCGTGCTTCCCCGCCTCCACCACCTGCGTCCCCCCCGTTCCGTCCAGCACCAGCCATGCTCTCACTCCCGTTCCCTTCTTCCTAATCCCCCCCGTTCCACTCACTGTCTCCCCCCTCATCCTATTCCTATTCCTATTCCTCCCTCCTCATTTCCTACCTCATCCCATCCCTTATTTACTTAATTTTTTTTCATTTCCACTCCCCCTAATTTCACCATTTATTTAAATATATAATAATTACTGCTTCAAATTCTAAGACTAATCGTCTGAATTATTCACAACAGACACTAATTTTAATATTGTCAACTTATACAGAAATATTTTAATAATATAACATCTCAATATATATAGAGTATCTCGTAAGGCTGTTCCAACTCTGTAAATGGGGTTCACAATCACAAGCTAAAAAAATCCTGCAACAATTTACATCCAAGGAATGCTTTATCCATCAAGTGAAGTGGGCTATCCTATTAGAAAAGGTCAACTATATGAACACTAAATGTTGTCGCTGAATTCGATTAGAAATTAAAATTTCAAAGATATAATCAGAGGAATTGATGAAAAATAACCCGGAAAGGTTTGTTTGAAACAAAATTGAGTTGATTGAGAAACAAAACTAGTTATTCAGTACTTGCCAGACAGTGCTGCTACAATTGGAAGGTCATAAAGTTGGGCCGCCGATATTGTGTCCAATATGTCGTAACCTCCTTACCTTCGGAGGTTTTTGCACAGGATAAATATATATTTATATGCTGGTGAACTACGATACAATGAATATCTTAGATAAAATAACATGATCACATAATTTGCTTGAAAATGGGTCTTTGAGGACGAAAGAAATAGCCTTCTTCCACTAGTATCTGTTAAACCCGATGTTCGAAAATTCCCATCAAAATCTTGGACAATGAACAAGTATTAAATTGGAAAATGTTAATTCTATGTATGACTCGATCACATTCATATTTGTTCATGGTTATGCCCGAGCTTCAAATAATCATAGGTTAGTCACATCTAAGGATAATTCAATGTTTAGCACGGTAGTAACAGTATATTTATGATTTATGTCATCGTGACATATTATACATATTTTCTTATGCCATGCCCTCACTTCTTATTTTGGTCACTCTAGGTAAATAACCATAGTTGAAGAATGCAGTTGCATTAATTGTAACTTCGATAGTGATCTTTTGCTTTCTGTTTCATGGGACAAATAAACAGATGAGAGGGGGAGTAAGAAAGGTGACAAGATAAAAACATAAGATAAATATATATTAGTACAATATAAGTGGTCAAAGAATACATTAAAGTGACAGATTTCTTAACAAATTCCTGTCTTGAAGAACTCGAACCGGTGCGAAATGGGCAACATAGCCTGTCTCTGTGACTACAAATATCACACATTAGCTTAGGAAGTAACACTAGGCTTTCTTATTAGATGAATCTAGCCCTCCAGTCTCTCACCCGAGCGCTAAAGATTGTAATAAGCAAACCACCTACTCATCATGTTTAAGCATTCCTTGGGTTTGTACTCTGGAGCTGTGTGCCCTGCTCCCTGCACATTTGCAATTCAAAGGGCACGCATCCATCTCATTAGACTTAACTATTCCATTGATTTAAAAAAAAGTGAGTGAGTTTGGGATGATCAATGCTTTTCTTGCCTTCACAGTCGCAAATGTTAAACTGTACTTTTTCTTTCGGTGTATCTCTGTATAACTGCAATAATAATAAACCACAATTGAACTGATCCTTTATTCATTAATTGGTGACCAAAAGCGGAATTGCAGGAATATTGTTACTAACCCTGCAACTTGCCCATCCACAAACCATGGCCTCCACTCCTCATTAGAAGAAACAGTCAAATTCAGATATTGTATCCATTCTTGGGTGCCCACGTATGGAACAATGTAATCATGATCTCCACTGTGTCACAAGTGCCAACCTTGTATTTGTCAGAAATTTATATTACCATTTACCAAGCACTCACATGTGCTATATATTATGGAAGACAATGTCCTTGCCATCATCACCTGTAAATGATAGCTCTAAGATCTTCGTTTGTGAAGTTTCGATGATAATCAAAGCTATTTAGTATGTCATATTCATAACATAAGCTTCTATTGCATCTTTCCCACTCTTGTTTAGTTCCCTGGTTGCATAACATCAAAACTATAAGAGCGAGTGGTTGAATTGAAATCTTGATAATTTCCATAGCTTATATACTTACAATTCTAACGTGTAGAGCTTCCTGTACTTGTTTTTCATTAGCCCAAATGTTTAGGAACAAATAGTTATAATCCTGTAAAGAAAAATGGATTAGGAATAGAATCAAAGACCAATATAGCGCATTGGGTGTGCTAATTTGGTCTTTATGATTAAGTTACTCGTTAAATTACCCTGCACCATTGCCCAGTACGATTAACTTCTAAAAGGAGTGGATCTGGGTCTGGGAAAACAACACCGCTATGGCTTGGTTCCCAGTTAAGCTTGTTTGGCTTTGCAGAGGAAGCGAGGCACAGTGGTTCCAACACCATGGCAGGGTTTATGTCATTTAAGCACTACAAATACAAGTGATGTGTATTTTAAATTACAATACTTGAAGAACTAACATATCCTTAATTAGTATCTTACTCACCAGATCGACTGTCTCAAGATTCTCAATACATCCAGCATCACTTTTATTTGGGTAAACATACTCTCCATGACAATCCAATTTAGTTTCCTTAGGAAAGATAGGAGATTAGAAAAGTGGTTGAGTAAATAATATGGAGGAAATATAAGCGGTAGATCGATAGGTAATTCTCCTTGTCTAGCACAAGATTAGCACACATGTATAGTTAACTAATTTACAAAATTCATATACAATATTCCAAGTGTTAGTTTTCTTTTAATTTAATTAGAATTTTGTTTACGTGATTCATTCAATAAAAATCAACAGTATGCCACAAACTCTAATTTTAATTAAAGAAAAAAAATAGTATCAAAATCACGTCAAGACTTAAATTTTGTCTTTAATTTACCCCCCTTTTAGAGAAATTTAGATACCTTTCAGAACAACATCGTAGTGATGAAGTCTTCATGTATAAACGAAAGATAAATTACCTCATAGAGTTCATCAGATAGAAGTCCAACTCTGTGAGCAAACTTAATTCTTGAGTTTTTATCATGTTGCTCATCGGTTAATGGGTTTCCTAGAACATAGCCCTGCATCAAAATTCAGAATTCATTCCTCACTTTAATTTTAAAGAGATAAGATAACATAAAATATTAAACGGTGGTCCAAAACAATCCACAGAAAATACCAAAAGATGAAAAAAAGCAATACGTACTTTGAGGTTTATTAGCGGTAAATTTCCAGCTTTGATACCTACAGTACAAAAAAGTATTAAACTTTGTCTGGTTTGAGAAAGAAAAAAAAAAGGATTTTTTTAATAAATTTTAAAGTTGGATATAAGAGAAATCTGAAAGAAAATGAAAAGAAAAAATATAGATATTCTTAAAATTACCTTTCTGCCATTGAAAAGAATATAAATTTTATAATATATCACTAATTTTATTCTTTTATCTATCTTTTTGCTTCTTAGTTGTGTTTTTCTAACGTGAATAGATAAAATTGTAAAAGAAAAGAAAAGGCTAATTAATATATTTTTTTTGTCTCTACAAAATTTGTATTTTTTTAATTTGCTTCTTTATTTTTTTTCAAATGGATAAAATGTTTTTATTATAAAAGTTTCTTTTTTTAATATATATTTTTTATTTTTTCTAAATATTGATGGGTTTTTTTAGTTTCTTATTTCAGGAGGATAAATGAAAATTTTATTATATTTGTGAGGACAAAATGAAAAAAATTGTGATATTCAAAAGAGCTATTTTTTTTATATTTAAAGGAATCAAATAAAAATAATGAATTATTTAGTAAAAAAATTCTATAAAATATTTTTGTGAAAAAAATAAAAATAAAAAATTAAATAAAAATAATAAGTTTAAATAACTAAAAAGATCAACTAAACCTTAAAATAATTAATCACAAAGTCGCACAAAATCGCACCTCTCCGAAGGTGAGAAGATGCTTGGTGGGTTCCACGAAATTATTTTCTTTGCTTACTTTTTTTCACTAAATGAGTGCAAGAGCAATGCTAGTAATAAATTTACGCTGTTATTTAAAATTTATTGAAAATTATATAAATTTTAATTTTCAAGAAATTTTAGGTAAATTATGCGGATGGCTAGCATTCATAACAAATCCTTTCTTAACTTATTCTAGTGTACCAAACATGCTGAAGAGAAGCTAAGAAAGTTGGAGCGATAGCAAAGTAATATAAAATGAAAACAAGTTAAATACATGAAATTTTCCATAAAAGACCCATTGTTGGTTTTGGACAACACCTTCGATTTGGCACACTACATGTTTGTAGAATCGTCAGAAGAAACTCCATAAAACATTATTTACCATCAGAAATTTTCTTGACAGTGAGGGGAACAGTGATACCGGAGTAAGAATCACCAGCAATGTAGACGGGATTGGTTTGAAATTTTGGGTGAGCCAGAAGCCACTGCACAGTCAATACATCATGATCCAAATAAATAAATGATTGATTATATTTATTAAAAAATATACTAAAAAAATTATAGTTATGCATCGTCTCACATCTTAAATGTTAAGAAAAAGAAGTAATCAAGTTATAATTCTCTATCTTTTAAGTATTTTATTCAAATTTATTAAACCATCCTTTTAAACTATTTTAAATATCATATTTCAACTATTTTACTAAAGTAAATGACCCTAAAAAAATAAATATTGTAACACATTCGTATTAGACTCACCTTTCTTAGAAACATATACACGTCTGCAGTTGATTTTGTAGCACTAGTGTTGTATCCCGCTGAAGTATTTGCATATGAAAATCCAGTGCCAACTGGTGCATCCAAGAAAATAATGTTGGCAACCTATGAACATAAAGTTCCAATTTATTATATAAATATTCATCCTCGAATCATCTTATAATTTTTCAGATATATCTGGTGAGAAGCAAAGCATGATGCTGGAACCCGATACCTTAGTCCAGGAGTAGTCGTTCAACACTAAAACTGGTTTGTCTCCGTCAATTGACCTTTCATAGTCGAAACTGATTGGACCTACATACACGTTTCCAGCCAGTGAGTCCAATTACGCTATTCGCACAAAGAATGCTTCATCAAATCACATGTAAATTATATAAGGTCATTCATTGCAGAGATAAATTGCTCTGTAGTCATTTGCATTTTTATTTTATTATGTGGGTGTAAGGATTCTAACTTGTTACTGCAGAGTAGCATACCGATTTCATACATGAAACCAGATAGAGCTGAGCAACCAGGGCCTCCAGTGAGCCAAAGCACAAGTGGATCAGTTGCTGGAAGCCCCTCCGATTGGACGAAGTAATAGAAAAGCTGAATATCATCTAGTTCTCCTACGCCAATGTACCTGAGTTTGTGTTCCATAATGGACTTTAAATACACATGGAGAGAGAGACAGAGAGATGAACATAGATAGATATGCTGAATTAATAATTAATTCATGATTAAAAGTAAGACTTAATGAAGGACACTACTGACCCAGTTTCAAGTAGGAATGGTAGCTCACCGGAGAAGCCCGGTAAGGTTTTGACAATGGTAAACGATGCAGCTGAGTTAGATAGAGCCAATAGGAGAATGAAGCCCCAAAAGAATTTGATGCACTTGCTGTGAGTGAGCAAGCAATATTGGAGCTGATAAGCCGTCAGTGTTACTTTTGCCGGTTCCATATCTAAGCTATTATATTTGCCTTTACTATCCCACTCCAAATGAGATAGAGGGCCTCTGTTGTTATTGAAAATATATGGACGTATAGATTATTGTGAGATCAGAGACGAGGACAAGAGTAAGCGGTCATTGTTTGTCCACGACTTGTCTGAACCAACACGTGGATGTAAATGTCGCTGACCTAGAACATCAATCATCAGAATTTCTTAGTTACATGTGCACACAATGGGTGCATGTCCGTCCATATATGTTTTTTCTGATGCACCTACCATTCCACACGGGAGTTGCTGCAAGTATCACATTTGCACTAGTCATTCTATTTCAGATAATCTATAACAAATTTTCTGTCTATAACGGAGCGTTTGATTTTGCTAGGGAATATTAAGAAGAAATGTAATACCCCACTGCCACAACAATCAACACACATTAATTAGCGGAATAAAATACCATAAATTTAATTGATATTTTATTTTTTATAAGCCAGCATAGTGTTTTTCAGCTTTTAGGAATTAATATAATCAATCTTCTTTCAAGATTCAAAATATTGTCTCATGCTTGACTGACGAGCTGGATACGTTGAGAGTTTAATTTGTAGGCTCTCCTTAATAACAATGACATTTACACGTTACATTCAGTGTCAAAAAATTATAAAATATAAACAATACCACACATCATCCAATTTATTTGATTAAAGAGTAGCTTAGGAGGATTTTCTTTTTTTCATTTAAGGATAACATTCATGCGACCCATAACGTGGATTTCATTTCTTTATTATTATTTCTTTCTAATTCATGATAGGTGTATAAAACAGTTAAGAATTAAATAGAGATAATGATATAATTGGAAAAAAATAATATTATATTAAATTTTTAAGTATATAGATAAATAGATTTTTTTTTCTGAAAAATAGGTAGATAAAAAGAAATGAAAGAAGAAGGCACACATTCCATTCCATTCCATATCTTATATTTTATTTTTATTTTTATTTATGTTTTAAAATATTTGTTGATTTATAAATTCAAGATTAATTTATTTTTTTCAACTATATCTATATTCACTGTTATGAATAATTGTTTGAACTAGTCACTATAATTATATCTCATATTTATCACTTTGTTTTTTATTTACCTATCATTATTTAGAAACTCATGGAAAATTGTAATGCTTTTTGAGAAAACATACAGTGTAAAATTTTTAGTGTGGCTTGTAGGAAGTTAAAAATGCCAAATTCTACTAAGTTTATAGGAAAATAGTTTTTTTATTCTAAAAAGTTAATTCAAATTTATGCAAAACATTTTATTCATTTTATTTCATTAACTTATTTTATCATTTCTATAACTGTTTCTTAGGAAATTTATTCAAAATATTACAAAAATGGTTTTCTTTTTCAAATTAACTCATTTACTTTATGCTTTTGAAATATTTCTAACTGCCGGATAAGTTAAGGACATAATCATCAAATTATGGTTTTATTTTAATTACTCGTTAAAAAGTTGTTACATGCATTATGAAAGTAAAAATATTAAAGAAATATTTTGTAATAATTTTTACTATATTCTATAAATTAAGAGAGTATTCTATATTTTTATACTATGTAACAATTATTTAAAAAAGATATAAATATTTCTTAATCTTAAAACATAAGAAGAATAATGACAAGAATAGAGTACTTTTTCAACTTTATAGCAAACACTTTTTATTTCATGTTCAACCAAACCTTCATTAAACTCTACTCTTGGAAAATAAAAATAAAAAATTCAAACACACTTAACGCTCTAATTATAACTGGTTGCCGATATCCATCACTATGTGTACAAGGAAAAAGCAAACAGAAAGATAAATAAAATTATATAGTGATTGGGAAATTCCCGGAACGGTTTTATTTTGATAAATCCTCAGATAACATCTCGGTTCTAGAAGTCATTACAGAGTGGCGTAGAGAGTTACAGAGGGTAGGCATGGAGCCATCTTTGAAACATTTCATAACATTCCCTGCGGTTAAACTCCGGAGCTGTGTGACCCGCACCCTGAATATCACAAGAGACGAACCAAACTTAGTTACATCTTTTCAGAGTCATGTCACTGCCCCTAATTAACTTGGAAATTTAAAGCAGACACTTAACTTTCAGTGTTACGTATGTTAAACGAAATCCATTTTCTGAATACTCTCTTGTGTATCTATCAATCAAGAAGGGGTTAATCGAACAATATAAAGAAACAAATTGATTATCTGATTCAAAGTCATTTTCAAGTCGAAATATAATCCTTGAAAGACCACCGATATCCACATACCCTGCAACTTGGTCATCAACATACCATGGTCGCCATTTCACAACAACAGTCAAATTTAGAGCCCTTAACCATATCTCAGTACCCACAAAGGGAACAACCATGTCGCGGTCACCACTGCGCAAAAAGACATCAAAGTTAATTTCAAGAACAGCGCCTGAACAAAACACAATTAAATGGCCTAAGCCAATCCAATTTTAAGGGTTCAGACTGCACGGCGAGGATGTTTAATTACCATTCCACGAGAACGGTTAAGTTCCTTTTGCTAAGCCATTTGTGAATGTGGACCACACTTTGGACATCATAAGTGTACGAGAGACTCTTGTTGCACCGATCCCATTCCTTCACCTTGCCCTTTTTTCACGTTGTAAATGAAAAACATCTTATTATGCGTTTGCAAATTCTATAACCATAGATCTAAGGCAGAAGTTACAGCTAGTAATTAATTTTAAAATAGATGTGAATCTATGTTCATTCATACGTGAAATCAAAATGCTATTAGACAAAAACAAAACTAATCCTATGAAGTTCATAGACACGATAGGAGTACCTTCCGAACATGCAAGGCTTCTTGAACGCTGCCATCATTTGCCCAAGAATAAGATAGTGCATAGTTAAAAGCCTACATAAAGAAGACATAGTTATATATATAATACTGTTTTTCGATCAAACCATAAATATCATACTTTCGAAAGAAAACAATGCTACGAGTAGTAGGACTAGGGAGTAGAATATTAATCTTTTACCCGACACCATAATTGTGGAATTCTTGGTGGGGAAAGCACAAAATCTCGAGGATTTTCCTGGAGTGATTTTTTATGTACTTGCAGGTAATGCTGGGTAGAAGCCAATTCACAGTTGGGTTCCAAAATGTCACTGGACCATATACCTTTGATGCACTGCAAACAAAAATTACATGTTATTTTTCTTCATATAATGAATGTTAATGGGATGAGAGACTTTATGGTTATGTTACCTTCTCGTACTCAGCAATAGCTGCAAGACATTCTACATTAGATGGATCCACGAACACATAGTTCCCGTTGCACCTTGATTTGAGTTTCTGAGCAAGCATAGACAAAGGCCGAAGACACATTTTTATTACAAACTTACTGGTTAAGATTGGTTTATATATTGACTTTTACTCGATTATAATATGTCATAAGTTAGATTAAGACGATCTAAAATATATATATCCTTAAAGTGCCTATATCATTGATAATATCAAGTCATCATCTTTTAATGATTTAAATTAATCGGATCATGGCGGTCATAAGTCATTTGACGATATGATTCCTTTCAAGTATCACAGAACTAATTCAAATCAAAACAGCTTTAATAAGTCATACTATAGACTGTAATTTTGATGTGTTTTTAACACTCAACCTATTATCAAACTCAAACCATACATGTACATTAACACAATTCAGATAACAAGTAAACAAGTAGAAATAATACTTTTATTGAATTCCCAAAATATCTACAATAATATGAGCAAAATAATCTATACACATATATGTGAATCACACAATCATGCTAACAAGGACTTGTCTATAATGCCCATTCTACCAACATGGCCAGAAAATGTTAGGGGACAATCCCTTAGTTAGTGGATCCGCTATCATTAAATCAGTACCAATATGCTTAATAGACACTTTCTGTTTCCGCACTTCTTCTTTCATTGATAAGTGTTTTAAGTCCATATGCTTTGCTCCCTTTGAATACTTATCATTCTTAGATAAGAAGACGACTGCCGAATCATCGCAATAAATTCTCAACGGCTTTTCTATATTATCAACAATACCAAGCCCTAAGACAAAGTTCTGCAGCCACAAAGCATGAATAGTAGCTTCAAAGCATGCCACAAATTCCGCTTTCATGGTAAACATAGCAATAATGGACTCCTTTCCACTCTTCCATGAAATCGCACCTCCAGCTAACAAGAAGATGTAGCCAAAGGTTGATTTTCTTGCGTCTACACATCCAGCATAGTCTGAATCCGAATAGCCAACCACTTCCAGTTGACTAGATCTCCTATAAGTAAGCATGTAGTCCTTGGTGCCTTGTAAATACCTAAGGACTTTCTTTGCAGCCTTTCAGTGGTCTATTCTGGTATCAGGCTGAGTGCATGTCTGAGCATACATTAAACTCCCGACCACTGATGCATAGGGAGTAGATTCCATTGCTTTCTGCTCCAACTTATTCTTGGGACATTGCATTTCACTAAACTTGTCTCCCTTTTGAATTGGAACTACCCCTGATGAGCACTTTTTCATTTTGAATTTCTCTAATACTTTGTTGATGTAGACTTTCTAAGACAATCCCAATAATCATTGTGATCTATTACGGAATATTTCTATTCCAATCACATAGGAAGCCTCACTCATATCTTTCATCTCAAAGTTCTTAGAGAGAAATTTCTTTACATCATGCAACAGCCCAACATCATTAATAGCAAGAAGAATGTCATTAACATACAAGACTAAAATGATGAACTTACTCCCACTGACCTTCATATAGATACACCAGTCAATAGTGTTCTTTACAAAACCATATGACGTGATGGTATCATTGAACTTAAGATACCATTGTTTGGAAGCCTGTTTCAACCCATATATTGATTTCTTTAACTTATACACCATACTTTCTTTACCTACGGTTAAGAAGCCATCTGAATGATCCATATAAACTCCCTCTTCCAAGTCACCATTCAGAAAGGCGGTCTTTACATCCATTTGGTGGAGCTCTAAGTCATAATGAGTCACCAAATCCATAATAATTCTTAAAGAGTCCTTATTTGAAATTGAAAAAAATGTCTCTTTATAGTCTATGTCATCCTTTTGAGTGTATCCTTTAGCAACAAGTCTAGCCTTGTATCTCTCAACGTTACCTTTTGAGTCACGTTTGGTCTTAAAGACCCACTTGCAACTGACTCGTTTTGAACCTTCAGGCAACTCGACTAGATCTCATCCTTGTTGTCACTCATTGATTTTAACTCTTCTTTCATGGCATTCAACCACTTTTCAGAATTGTAACATTCCATGACTTGCTTAAATGAGACTGGATCCTCATCAATACTCAAGTCACATTCATGCTCAAGTGAGTAAACTACATAGTCATTCGAAATAGCCGGTCTTTTCTGCCTTACGGACCTCCTTAATGCTATCTCTTATGGTTCACCTTCCTCTTGCTTACTTGTAACTTGCGTATTTTCAGCTAGTTCATCCTCTATATGTTGTTCTTGTGGATTTGAAACATTAACTTGTTGTCTCCTTATGTTGTGTGACCGTGATACAACAAGAGGAACAACAATTGGAGAAAAGACACCAACTACAGGAGGTTTTGCACGTGTCTCTTTAATTTTCACCTTTCGTGTTCACCACTCTCACTAAACTGACCATTTTCAATGAACTTTGCATTTCCAGACTCAACTATTCTCATACTATGGTTAGGACAGTAGAATCTGTACCCCTTTGATTTTTTAGGATAGCCGATGAAATAACCACTTATGGTTCTAACATCAAGCTTCTTTTCATGTGAATATATAATCTTACTTCTACTGGACAACCCCAGACATGAAGATGTTTTAAACTGGGTTTCTTTCCTGTCAACAGTTCATAAGGAGTCTTTGGAATTGCCTTACTAGGAACTCTATTAAGCAGATACGCAGCGGTCTTTAATACGTACATCCACAAAGACATAGGTACAGAACTGTAACTCAACATACTCTTAACCATTTCTATGATAGTACAATTCTGTCTTTTAGCCACACCATTTCGTTGTGGTGTACTAGACATGGTATACTGTGCACATATGCCTCGACTTTCTAGAAGTTTTGCAAATGGACCTGGACATTGTCCACTTTCATCACATTTTTCATAATATTCACCACCTCTATCTGACCTCATAACTTTTACCTTTCTATCTAGTTGCCTTTCCACCTCATCAATGAACACCTGTAAGACATCCACTAATTGAGATTTTTCATGCAACACATACAGATAACAATAACGTGAGTAGTCATCAATAAAAGTATTGAAATATCTTTCACCACCCTAAGATGGGATGTCAAACGGACCACAAATATCAGTGTGTATCAACTCTAAGAGTTGACTGCTTCTTGTGGCTGAATTCTTTGATGTGTGTTTAGTTTGTTTTCCTTTAATACAATCCACACATACATCCAAGTAAAAAAAATCCAATTGAGGTAAAATTTCACTTTTCATTAACCTCATCATCCTTTCTTTGGATATGTGACCTAACCTTTGATGCCACAAGAAAACAGAACATTCATTACGAACATTCAAATTACTACTAATAGGATTCTCAACATGAAATAGAGATTTAGCAAATTTAACATTAAGATTGAAACGATATAAACCATCAATTAATGTACCAGATCCAAAATAGTGAGTGTTTATACAAAGAAAATGTATCGTTTTCAATCTTAAAATTAAAACCAAATTCGTCCAATTTTGCAACAGAAACCAAATTTCTAGGACATTCAGGAACATAAAGACACTTTTCTAGATCTATGCAGCAACCAATATGCAAATCAATCTGTAAGTCCTTATTCCTTCTATCCATGCCTTCATTCTATTTTCCATATACAAGAACTTTTCAGTTCCGCTTATGGGCTGGATCGAAAGAAATCCCTGCATTACATGTGACATATAAGTAGTTGCACCAAAATCTAACCACCAGGTATTTTTAGGTACCTCAATAAGATTTGATTCAAAGCATACTGAAACATAATATATAACTTTCCTTTCGAACCAAACCTTTCTCTTCGGACAATCCTTTTTGAAGTGACCAGTCTTCTTGTAGAAGAAGCACCACTAGCCCTTCTGGATTCGGCCTTCATGAACCTTTAATAAGGTCTTATCCTTCTTGTCCTTGTTGTCCTTCTTACCTGGCTTAGCCTTGCTACTTCTAGCCCCTTCATGAAATGTTAGATGGACGGAGTGTTCTTTCACCTTCTTTAGCCTCCCTTCCTCCTAAACCAGCATGGCCTTAATTTCTTGTATGTTCCATTTATCCTTAATGGTATTGTAATTCACCTGGAACTGACCAAACTCAGGAGGGAGTGAGTTCAAAATGGAATGTACTAGAAAGAATTCCTTTACCTCCATGCCCATTGATTTCAACTTTGCCGCTTGATTGATCATGTCAGTCACATGGTCATGAATGGGTCGTGACCAATCAAACTTATTAGTAGTCAGCTCAGTCAACAGGGTGCCTGTAATGGACTTGTCAGTAATGTCCGATTATGCATACTCTTTTACCTTTGCCATAAATTTCCTAGCATTTTCAGTCTTTGGCATTGATGGCTTCACATTTTCAGCCATAGTCATCTTCAGCAAGCTCAAGCTCAGCCTATTCGACCTTTTCCAAGCCTCACGAAGAGTCCTTTCCTCTTCAGTACTGGTCTCTGTAATGGCTGCAGGCTCTTGTTCCATAATGATTGCTAGGTCTAAGTCCATAACACCTAGCTGGAATCGAACTTGTTCAGCCCAATCATCATAATTAAGCCCATTGAACTTGACTACGCCATTGCTCATGCCATATGTATTCATAGGGACTGAATCCATTTAATACATGCTTAAACATTTATGCTTTGAATAAACTTAATAGATTCAAGCAGCTAACCATTATTAATTATGCATATAAGTTTACCTTTGAGTAACGCCTAAATACATAATTTATCTATAATGATGCTAATAAACAACTTTAATTGACAACCAGTCACTCAAACTAATATGCAAGTTATCTTTGGATATACAAACATATTATGAAGTGCTTACATGTTTCTTTAATGTCATTAATCATATGTAATGATCCACCTTTGGGTGATCTCTTAACATTATAATTAATGAGCTAAATTGTTCACTCTTTATATTTCCATATAGCATCAAACAATTTTGAACAATTTACAACATATAATTAAATGCTTAAAGAACTTTTAAAGTCAAGCCACTTTGGTGACTAACAAGCTACCCTTAAAATTAAACACTAAATTGTGAAGTTCTCATAATGATAATGGAATTTAGAATTAATTAACTTGAGAATTTAATCACTTTGGTGAGTAAAATTCACTTTGATGTAATTCTAAAATTATCTATATATTTTATGAATTATATTCTTTATTCTGCCGTAAAATTCCTATGCACGACCTTGCTTTTACTTAATGCATGGTCGTGCTTCGATGAAGCAATGCCATGCTCATTTCTGATGCATGCCCTGCTTCCTGAAGCATGACCGTGCTTCCTGATGCATGGTCGTGCTTACAATATGCAAGGTCATGCTTCGATGAAGCATGGCCGTGCTTGTTCTTGATGCGTGGTCCTGCTCCCTAATGCATGGCCCTGCTCACTGATACATGACCCTGCTCATATTACAGATTCAAATCCAATATTTCTAGCTTCCAAAACCTTAGGATTTTCAATTATTAAATCCAAAACAATTATTCAACATCAAAATAATGCCAATCCATCATATAAAATACCTAGGGTTCATGTAATTTGGGGAAAACTTTAATGGAGAACCAATCTCTTATGGAGAATCGACGAAATTCACAACCTAACTCTGATACCAACTGTTAGAATTTTCTTTAACCCATTATGTAATTTTCATTATGCAATGACTATTATGAAATTACCTTTTCTCTTAGAGATCTTAATTAAATTACGTTGCTCTCAGAACACAATATATGGTTCTCATGCAATTAAGGGTTTAGAGAGCACTAACCTGAATTCATTGTTCCTTGATGTTACCTCTCTCTTTGATGTCATTGATCCCTTTGTATTTTCTCCAACTCTTCCTTCCTCTTTTAACTCCTCTCGAATGGTTGAGAGAAAATTCATTTCTTACGTTTACCGTGAGCTCACTCAGAGACCGTGAAAGTGAACCAATAGAGAATGTTGTAACCTCTATTTGGTAACCGCTATTTAGTTTATATAAAGGAAGATGGAAGAGTTTCCTTATAATTGTATTTACAATTATACCCTCAATGACTCTATATTTTATATTTAATCACCATCACATTAAACCCTTAATTAGAGTCATGTTATAAGTTACATATGTCACTGTAATAAGATTATTAAAATAATCTAACATATATATTTACTTTTACTCGATTATAATATGTCATAAGTTAGATTAATGCGATCTAAAATATATACATCCTTAAAGCATACTAGAATCTAAAATTTCTAAATCTATCAAAATTAACTTCTCATTGAATCGAAAAGTTGGGGCATGGCATATCATAAACACTCCTAATTTCTACAGGTGTTTGGGCTTGGGCGGCTGCAATATTGCATCGACTTTAGTATGCGTCTTCTATCTACTCATTTATTAATTTACTAAATTTAATGCATTAATAAGATTAAATGTTACGACTTTTAATAAACATTTATTACTCCTTAATTTATTAAATTTTTATCACGTGTCTAAGGACACATCTTAAAAGAGTTGGCAATGTTTTCTTAAATAAAAAACATGAAAAATGGAGAAAATGATTCAAGAAGAGAGAGAGAGAGAGAACGGAAGTTAGTGAGGGGGACGGTATCATTCTCTTTTAGTTGAAATGTTGGACGATATGATATAATGTTGGAATTTGGATTGTAGAATATTATAGTTACACGGAATAAGACTGTCCATCAACCGCAAATCAGGAACCGGTTGATAAGAACCTAACCTATATTATACAAACACCTTCAACGGTAGCAAATATTCATAAGCAAGGCTTCTGCAAAATTACCTCATAGAGTTTGTCTGAAATTAGTGCCATGCGGTGAGCAAATGGTATTATAGAATTACTGTTGATAAACTCATCTGTGTGAGGGCTCCCTACCAAATATCCCTGGAAAAATTTTCAAATAACATTAACTTGAAAATGCAAAAATCTTAAGACATTAGTCAATCACATTAATCAGAACTTGTTAGACAATTTAATTAGTTTATGGCATATACTTTAAGATTCAACCGAGGCTGCAATCCGGCTTCATTACCTGCAGGCCGTGTACATAAATTATTTTCATGGGAGAGAAAATAAAAAGAGATATTTTGGTTTTTCTTTGGATAAAATAATCATGCAGTTACCTTCTACAACCAACTTTGTAATCAAAGGAACAACTAGACCTGAATAAGAATCACCCGCAATAAACAGTTGGTTTAAGAGATAGGGTGGATTTTCTTCCAACCACTGAAAGATACACATGAACAACATTAAGTTCAACGTAAAACCGTAGCAAAAATACAGTCCCGTTGCTTATGACTAGCTCATCTTTCTGCATTGACTCCGTCATCATTTAATTAACTTGTTCTTTTTTTCTCAAATGCTAATCTCACCGACCTTCCTAAGGAAGTGATAGGATTGCCAGGCCGATGCTGAGTCCGAAGTTTCCCAACCTTGTGTAGTTTTGGAATAGGAGAAGCCAGTACCCACTGGAGAATCGAGGAATATGATGCTAGCAGTCTGAAATCATGCAGATAAAAATTTATTATCATGTCCAACGCTCTCCCACATGTATGCGTAATTGGAAAAATTTTCAAATGATGGGGTAAAAAATTACAGAAAACTGAGGAGTAACAAGTAAAATATGCTACCTTTGTCCATGCATATGGATAGTATGCCAATTTTGGTAATCCCCCGATATAGGAATTAATATCAAACTCTATAGGACCTGCAGAAAAGTACTACTATATTCAGTTGTTGATTTAATGATTTTTCTATTTTTGTCTGACTTTTCACCCTCACTTATATGTTCAAAGGACAACACCAGCTTTATTATACGTAATTTTCATTGAAAACGATACCTGTTTCATAAAGAAGTCCGGAGAGAGAAGAACAACCAGGGCCTCCCGTTAACCAAAGAAATAGAGGGTCCTCTTGAGGATTTCCATGTGACTCGATGAAATAGTAGAATAGTTCAGAATCATTCACGCTTATGTATCTGAACATATGTTAAACCAATCAACCTTTCCTTCAGAAGAAGTACTCTTGTAATATAATCAAATTTACAGAAACAGTAACATTCTTTTTTTAGTAACCTATCCAGTGTCAGGTTTCAATGACAGTTCATCCTCAAACCTATTTTTATACATCTGATTTATTCGACAGTGCCTGAGAAGTGAAAACAGAAAAGGTAGCTAAACATGTTCTAGAAAATCACTAACCCCGTTTCGAGTAGGAACGGTAGCTCGCCAGAGAAACCCGGTAAGGTGTTGACAACGGCTTTTGATTCAGCTGAGTTGAATAAGAGAATAAAGCCACAGAAGATTATGATGCACTTGGTGAGAGTAGCCAAGTACAAGTAGTAATATTGGTATTGGCACACTAAGGCTCTGTGCGTAGCTGGCGCCATATCTCAATTATAAACTCACTATGCCACCTCTTGATCAGCTACTGTCTAAAATAGTTTGATTTTTTGTTGTTGTGCGAAACACAGCAGCTTCTAACATGCATTTATGTTAGACACGTAAAAACATAGAATGAGAACGCGAGACAAACAAGAAAAGGTCGTTGTTACATTTCTAAGACCAGAGGTTGCTAGAACTGTGATTGGAATTAGTCGCATTTAATGACTTGCCCTCATTAGCTTTAGTTCGCAAACTTCATTTTGGACTACATAATATAAATTTATTTTATAAATTATTTTTAAAAAATTAGTTTAAAATAAATCGTTTTAACTTATTTTTCAAAAAATATGATTAAAGTTAATATAAAATTTTTAACCTAATATAAAAGCCTTTTTATACTTTTAATCAAACCTTTTAATGCCAAAATTAATTTTAATGTATTATAGTTAAACTCTTTTTTTCGTAAGTCAAATTTATGGTAATAGATGCACATGTGAGTTTGGGACCACCCATAATGCACTTTTGAGAAGTGAAAGTAATTTCCAAATAATTTACTTGAAATAACTATCATAAAAGATTTTGTATACAGATAATTATTAAATATGTTTAATTTTAAAAATACAATTATAATTAATTAAACTAACACTCCTTTTTGAAAATTCATCGCTCTCAAATGAGAGTATATTAACAAGTATACTAAGTCATCAAGTAATAAAATAAAATAAGAAATTTTTATATTTATAGAAATAATTTAAATACCAATTCTAATTAATTAGATAACAAATTAAACAATTGAAAATAAATGATATCAAAAGAAATAAAGACTAAAATGTTAAAAAAATATAACAGTAATATAAGAATTAGCGTTAAGCATTATGTGTTAACAAAATGCAACATAAACATTAATATGTCTTGTAGAGTTATTAAATTGTTTAATAGTATGGTCATTATGTTATTAAAATCTTTCTTAAGATGGTTTAATGTCACTCAAATAAAGTTAAGCACATAATCTTTTAGCATACGTAAGTCTATAAGTAATTTTTAAATCCTTAATATCACATGAATTATATTTTGTCTATTTTTAGGTGTCATTCAACTCATAGCATTGCATTTATGGGCATGATTTTTATTCATTTTTTAAAATTTATAAAAAATTCCTATAATCATAAATTAGTTATCAAGCAATTCAAGATAATTAAATAAACTCAAATACAATACTCACTATCAAACAAGAACAAAATATAAATTCATTCACTTTAATATAATATCAAATACATAACCTCCATAAATCACCTATAGCAAAGGATTTAGTTATAAGTCATAAAAAATAACTTACACTGGACAAAAATGAACAAAGATGAAAAAAAAAATTATGAACAGAGAAAAATACACTAGGAGTTGAGTGAGCAAAAATCTCAAGATACCATGTTTTTCTAAGTCTGTGCCAATCATAAGCTATAAGGGTTAGTACATACGCTCATCTCACATATCAATTCTGTGTACCCATGTTGTGGCATAGCTATGATCGTGCTGGAGTTTGACTTAAGTTTAACAACCTACGTCTAAATTTTCTAATTCTTCTTTTAAAAAGCTATAAAACTAAAAGAAAATATAACTAAAATGCAAGGTTATATGTGAATATAATTATACAATAATTAAAATTGAATAATGTAAAAATGGTAATCAAGGAAACTAAAACAAACTATCAAGAAACTAAAAATTTTAAGAAAACTTAAAAAAAATTAAGAAAATCCTAAGGGAGTTATCAAGAGTATTATTTTATTTAATTTAATAAAAACAAAAAATATAATAAAATTCAAAAATACTTTCTTAATTATTTAGTGTAATAATAATTTTAAAAACTAAATATTCCAAAGCCATAATAATTTTGAAACAGAAAAAGAAAATAAATATTAAAAAGGTAACATTAATTTACAAAAATTAAACACGTATTTGATAATAACTTATTTATGTAAATATTATTTTAATATAAAGATATTCTAAAATTTAGTTACATTTTTTTAAAAAATCAATATAAAAATAAAATTATCTCTTGTAAGAAATATCTTCAACCTATGAAAACGAAAAGCTATTGCTATTATCAATCTGTCAAAAACCGATAGTCAATTGATATGCTCCAACTTTGAAGTTCCTATCTAACACATTTTGTTAATGCACATGCATCACAGACAGAACTTCTGCTGCACCAACCTTTCGGACATCGACGAAAGGAGGATGCTTCATACATCGCATTGAAACTGAGAATTATATGTTGGGATCTTAAGGCATCTTACAAACTTAAAATAGCACTTCTATAGGCTATAATGTGAGTTTCTAAATGGAGTTTAAATCCTTTGGAGTTAATGAAAAACTGCACACTGGTGCAGTTATGAAACCAAAATACCTTATGAACTAGTAAATATGTCGGTGCAAAGCACGGATTTGTTTTATTTTTATTAAATAAATTTATTTTAAAATAAAAATATATATAAATATAGTAAAAAAATTATTAGTGAATAAATAAGTGAATTTTTAATATATATATATATATATATTGTGATATATATTATTAGTTATTTTAAAATAAAATATAATAAATAAATTTCATATAGTAATAATTATAACAATTTTTAAAAGATAAATAAATAAATATTAACATGCCTGAAATTTTTTTAAAATTTTCTAAATTTTAAAAAAAATTAATGATAACATTAATAAAAATTTTATTTACTACTTAAAATGTATATATATTTTATGATTATGAGGAATAAATTAATTTATAAAATTATGATACATAATAAATTTATAATAATATACTACATATTTTTAATATTTTTTATTTTTAATTATTTATTAATAGATAAAAATAAATAAAATTAAAATGCTAGACTAAAAGAAACATGTTGATTAAGTAAAGTATAAATAAAGAAATTTTTTTATTGCTAACATAATTTTATTAAAAATAGTAATAATAATAATTTCAGCATAAATACATAAAAAACTATATAGTAATGTATGCAAATTAAAATATATTAATTTTTTTATTGTTATGTAAACAAAATTTATTTACAAAATATATCATAATATTAGAATAGTACTGTAAAATTAAAATGTGTATAATTTAATATTTTCTAGAGCTAATTATATTTAATTTAGAATTTTTGATAGACTAAAATAAATATTTATGATAAAATTATGAAAATAATTTTAAATAACATAAAAATTTTTATTTTTAAAATTTTAAAATAAAATTTGTATTGTTTCATGATATCATAAAACTATTTGTTAAAAAAATTTAAAATAAATAATTATAACAATAATTTATTAAATATATAAAAAAATTTAATAAATTATAATGTTTAAATAAAATACTCTATAATTTTTGACTTATGCATTTGTTTATATTTGTTAACCTAAATTTATATAAAAAATTGTTTATTTATAATTATAATTTAAAATTTCTAATAAAATTTATACGATATCATAAAAGAATGATATAATATTTTTTTTAAAAAAATTAACTCATCCAACTAATATATACAAAAATAAAATTATATATTTTTAACTAATGTATAAAATTTTAAAAATATTATTTTAATATAAATATATACAAAACTACATGTTAATACCTAAAAATAAAAATATATTATTTTTTTGTTACATAAATAAAATTGCTATACAAAAACATTGTAAATAAAAACTAATAATACAATATATATTCTTAATTTAGAAGTTTAGTTGCTGTTAAAAATAAAAAAAAAAAATATAGAATTGAATTTTTTTAAAGTAATTAAATTATTCTATATTAATTAATAACTTAATAGAATTAATATTGATTAATATTATAAATTTTTTTTATTAAATACTAATTAAGTATAAAAGTTATGTAGTGTGATTATAAAATTAAATAATAAATTTATTTTTTATGCATTTGTTTTCAATTTTTAAAATAATTAATATAGTTTGTTGATGATATTAAAATATTTTAAAAAATTTATAAAAATAAAAAATATTAATTTAAATAAAATTTAGAAAATAATTTTAAAATACTAAATGAAATAAAATATGTAAATTAAATTAAAAATAAGTAAAAAAAATGCATATTATTAATTTATTATTAGGTTCATAATCATTTTAAAAATATATAAATATAACTTCAATATAAACACCTTAAAATATTATAACGTTATGAAAAAAAATAAATTTGTATTTTAAACATTTTGATGCAAATCTATGGATGTGTTTGAGATTTGATGATTGCTTTCAGATATATTTTTTATATGATGTCCTCGTGTCTGTCTATGTGGTATAACGTCTAATATGTTGCTTGGTTTTACATGAAAAAAAAAATAGTCAATAATTAGTGACCTTAATTTTAAATATTATTTTTTAAATTAAAAATTGTATAATTTTAAAAATATAACATAATAAATAATTATATTAACAAAAAATATATTTATATTGATTTAATTTTTTTTTACGTATAATAGCTGTATTTTAATTTATATTTTGAAAATTAATTGTAAGTCCACAAAATGACTGAATTTTTCTACTAAGAAACACTGTTTTTCACGTTTGTAATTAGAGATAAAAATAGGTCAAATCTTTCAACAGGGCTTACGGCCTAATCTATTTAAACCCTAGTCTGACCTATCTTATTTAATTAATAGACTTAATTTAGGCTTAATGATCTTGCGCACTTGTTTATATTATATTATATTTTTAATAATTTATTTATAAAGAAGCTTAATGATCTATTGAATATCTCGATATGAAGTAGGCCATTAAAAAGGCTAATAGGCCAAATAAGGCTTTTAAAAAGGTCACGCTAAACTTAAGAAAAAACCTAAGACAGGTAATAGGTTAGGCTTATGCTTCAAAATTATT